TTCCCTTTAACTGATGCCAGCGGTAGGATTTCATATTGAGAACATCGAAACTATTTTACTGACAGCGAAAAGTTATGTGTTACTACTATCCCTATTTACTATGTACAGATATGCTATCGCGATTACAACTACTACTGGCTGGTGGAATACTTGGCTGTGCTGTTATAGTATACTCTCAACGTAGGTTCTTATGGTCCTTCCAAAGCTTTGCTGAGTTTTCGAGATAGAACTGAAAAGCTGTTGCTACACTCACTGAATTTTCACCATTTTGATGTCATTTGAGAAGAGGAACTCGAGTAGAAACGACTGAAAAGTAAGGGAATCATGCAAAAATTTATTGGAAAACAAATTTATTGCCAGGAAGCATAGCAAACGTTGCTCTGGTAGAAAAAGAACTGCATACAGTAAGATCAAAGAGTGGCGATGAGATGAGACACGATCATGGAAACTACTCAAACCCGATTCAGGAAGCCAATCGTCTGTGATTGCCGATCTTGGAAAGCTGATCGTCGACAACTGTCCGCCTATGCTTTGTACAGGATTAGATTGCGCCGTGGTCACAGAACGAAATGGTTGCCAAGTAAGTGGCATCGTCTTCCAGCGTATATGGCAGCATAGGGATTATTTGTCCATATCAAGAGGATGATTATGTTTATAGTAAGATTTTGGAACCTTTTGGACATTGAAATGCACATAAGACTAATCTCTCAAAAATACAGACTTGTAGAACTCTTATTCAATTTCGACAGGCAAGCCTGACATTTGGCAGTCTTTGAAGGACCCTAGGCTTCCCTGACCTTAAAAGGGGTCCGACCGCATAGGTATGATTGGAAGCAGGGGTTATTTTTCGGCTATTGAACCATGTTCTCCACTGCACTTTGCCACTCCCTTGTAGGGTGTTGTTGGGCTTCGCTATTTCATCTCCTCCAAACAGTGAAAGACCCATATGAGCTTCTGAAGATTTCTACTGGGAATCGTAGATACCTTCGAAGGGTGCTTCAGTGTGTAACGTTAACAGTGCTGAATTTAGAGATTTTTTTCTGATTAGTATCAGTGCTAATTAATCTAACGCACAAGGCTGGCTCTGAACTCATAGGGATCGCTAAAACTAAGCACAATGGAAAGATTATATTGGGCTTATCGCTGTTTTTGCTCTCAAAGTGGGCAAACCTCTTCCAGTCATCGTTTATAACATCACGTGTTTCCACGAAACTGGCATCAATAAGGTCCCGTAAGCACTGTAACTACTATTACATTTGCGTACAGCAGAGAGCAAAAAAGGAGATTTAGGAGAGGTGACTTCTGATCGATCATCACATGTAGAAATAGAGAAGCGCCGTGGTTGAATCACGCTTCTAGCAACCATGGAGTTCCAAATGTAAAAGCACTTCAAGCACATCCAATGCTCTGATTGATTTCTGAGACCAGCCAATAGTGAGAGCGAATCTCAATGATTTTTCAAACATATCGAGGGTCAAATGCTGGTATCCATTCAGTGAAATCGAAAATCAGATCTTCGCTGGAGTGTTCCTTCCAAAAACGTCCTAAAATTTCCTTTCTGATGATATTGGTAAACAAATCTAGCCAGTCTTGGAACTCATTAATTTCAAGGATCGTACAAATTTTATGCTCATTCTGAGAGCTACCTCCTGCAAAGGCTTCAAGGGTGATCGTAAAAAAACTCACATGCTCAGTCGATAACCGATTACCTAGGTCCTTTCAAAGTTC